GGGGACAGTGGCTGTGTATTAGTTCCATTTGGGGGACAGTGGCTGTGTATTAGTTCCATTTGGGGGGGACAGTGGCTGTGTATTAGTTCCATTTGTGGGGGACAGTGGCTGTGTATTAGTTCCATTTGTTCCATTCCACAGTGGCTGTGTACTCCATTTTTTAAAAATCGTTTCTTGGGGCTCTTACCGCTCATAACATCCACACATCAACTGTGTCAAGTGTATTTGTACATATGTTGCGATCTTCTTTCCAAGACATTTTCTACTTCTTGAGCCCTTAGTGTACGCTCCTCTTTCTTACCCACCCTCCCACCTCGGGAATTCTTGATCAATTATATCTTATTCTTTCATATCTTACACTGTCCGTTGTCTCCCTTCACCCACATTCCGGTTATTCACCCCCTTGGGGGGGTTGGCTATCTATCCGACCTTGTGATGGGTTCCCCTGCGCTCCGGTGTGTTCCATGTTTGGGTGCTTCCTGTGTTATGCAGTATTCTGCTCACAGAACCCTTCAGTATTTCAAGTCCAAGCTTGAGAGACATGCAGCACGCGCTTCCCTCTGGTCTTCCGACTGTAGGACTTTGCACTTTTCATCATGGTGCTTTGTCCACTCTGGCTGCTCGCTGACATCGCGTCCAGCTCCTTGCCTCCTCCTCCCATTTGCTGTAGCGTCTCCACCTTCTCGGGCCAGTCTCAGAGTCTCTCCTGACGTCGCTCAGTCACGTCTCTCTCCTGTCTTTGCAGCGGCCTGGTGCCTTTCTCGTGTTTGATGTCGTTCCATGTGTCAAATCTGATCCTGAAATGATCTCCAAGCTCTACTTTGGCTCTCTCAGACTTGTTTTAACTTTTGCTTCAACTTCAACCTAAACGTGCTAGTGAGCACTTGATGGCCACTTCCACAGGTGGCCCTGGCCCTGTTCTGATAATAGTGAGCCTCTTCATCGTCTCTCCCCACAGATACAGTCAGTGTGATTCCTGCATTTTCCGTCTAGAAAGGCCCGCGGGTGTCCTTACCATTTACGTTGTTGGAAAATGGTGTTTCCAATGAATACCATTGCAAAATTCCATCACGCGATCTCCGGTGTCATTTCTACCACCAAGGTCCCATTTTCCAACAATATGATCTAGAAGGAGCTCCAGTGAGCCCAGGATACAGGCAAGGAGGTGGCGGGCTCAGAGGAGTGGGCATCAGGCTGATCTTTGGAGATCCAACTCTCACTGGAAGCACAAGTAGGGACAGTGCTGGCTCTAGTCCTGCTGGCTTGCTGCCCCAAAGGTGGAGACCAGGCCTGTCTGATGCCAGAACCCAGAGGCTAGGGCAGAGGTTAAACCCAGGGACACGCCCAGCTCCTATAGCCCTCCAGCCCTGGCCCAGTCTCTGGGCTTCCCGGGGCTGCTAAGCCTCTCTCCCAGGACTTGAGGGTAGGGAGGATTTCCCAACAAAGCTGCATGCTCCAGTCCCCACACTGGTCACCCCTCCTGTCCTCAGTGTGTGGAACAAGCTTGCAGGGCATGTAGCACCTTACCACCTCTGTTCACCCCACTAAAAACACCTAGACTCCAGGCGGCTCTAGAGCTCAAACCCTCCCTCTGTGTAAGAGTCACCTCTGAGAGCAGGGGCTTCTCTCCTCCAGAGCAGGGCACGCAGACATGACCCACACACCTGTGGCCACCCAGACTCCCCTCCTGCACCCACTGGTCGGCACATGTGCACACCCACATGTACATCTCACACCCTCACAAGTGCAGACATGCACGGGTGTCTGTCACCCACATTAACCTGCAACACAGTCCACTCGCTCACACCAGCATAGCCAGTCTCCTGGTCTACGGCTGCCCAGGGCCAAGATGGGAAGCAAGCAGGTGGGCTAGGAGCCAGGATGGGGACACCCCCCCCCTGGGCCCCACCTCCTCAGGCAGCAAGGCCTGCCACCACCCACATAGCAAATTCCATGAACCGATAGGCATCCAGTCACCTCTGCCTCCAGGCCACTGACTGTCCACTGAGGCTCAGCATGACCTCAGCTCCCAGACATTCCCAGGAGCCCTCAGAAAGAGTGTTGGTAAGCGACTTCCTGGAGGGGCCACTGACCCCATCACATTCCCCCATGGAAACCGGAGCCTGCAGCCCCTGAGCCCAGCCTGGCCACCCCTCACTGCCTTCTCTGGGCCTCCAGTCTCCTCAGGACCCTCTTAGGGTCACTACCCCTTCTCTAGGCCCAGGTCCCCTACCTCAGCCCCCCTCTAGGCCCCCACACATACATAAGCTTTACTCCTCCCTTTCATGAGAAGACAGGAGCCATGCCCCTCCCCTTGAGCCCCCATCTCCCTCCTCAAACCACTCTGAGCCTCCCAGCACCCCCTCTGAACCCCCACCTTTCTCTGAGCCTTCACCCTTCTCTGGACCCCACCTCCTTCCTCTTGCCTCAGAATAAGGCCCAGAGCTTCCCAGGGCCCCTCCTGAGCCCCTTCCTTCCCTCACTGAGGAGGACCCTGTCCCCCCAACCCCTGATGTGACGTTACCCACATCCTTAGAAGTGGCACTGGGGGGGCCACCTCTGCCCTGGGACCAGAGACAGGGCTATAGGTGAGATGACCCGGGCCAGCAGGGAGTGTGGAAGGACAGGGTGGGAGATGTCCCAGGACTAAGGCGCCAAGACCCTCCTCAGTTTTGCCCCCTGGGGTGCATCACCCCTGCCCCCTCCAGGACACCTCCCAGCCTTCCCTGCTGGAGGCTGGCCACCACCTGCCCTGTGATGGCCAGGCTAGTCCCCCCCATCTCACAACCTCACCACATTCGGGGGCATCCCTGACCCTCCAAGCAGCACTTCTGCCCCAAAGACAGCAGGCTAAGGTGGGGACCTGAGGGGGCAGCATGCCTGTGTGTGGACAGTGGACAAGCAGGTGGCGAGGGGTGGCCTCCCAACTCAGAAGCCCCCCCCCCCAAGGGGCCTTGAGGACACAGTGGGGGGCTTGGAGAGCCCCCTGGGGAGACAGAGGACCTCCTTTGTCCCCACACTCACTCCCAGTACAGCCCGCCCAGGCTCTGAACCCTCACCTAACTCCC